CCCCCCCCCCCCCCCCCCCCCCCACCTCACCCAACACAAAACTACGACCGAAGTTCTAGGAAGTCTCTCAATTAAGGCCCTCAACCCTCAACCCTCAACCCTGAACCCTGAACCCTGAACCCTAGCTTTGCAGTTGAGGAGCGCCAGCTTGCAGAAGAGAAGGCGCCATTGCAGCCCAGCGAGAGCCAGGCTTCGAAAACTGAATTGTTCAGAGGGTCGATCTAGTCTACGTGTAACACTATACTGTTGAATCAGGTACCCTAAGCCCTGGCCCTAAACCCCTATTTCGTGTGGTTTCTGGGTCTCGGAGTTTTGTAAAAGGGTTTAGGGTTTAGGGTTTAGGGTTTAGGGTTTAGGGTTTAGGGTTTAGGGTTTAGGGTTTAGGGTTTAGGGTTTAGGGTTTAGAGCTGGTAGTAGGGAACGAGGGGTACCTTGAAGAGCGGTGGGGGGGGAAGGGAAGCCCCAAGCTTAAGTTTTGGCGTCTGTGAGCCACAAACCTGGCCTTTGGGAGCAAGACATGCAGGTTTAGAGTCTATAGGGTTAGGCCCCAACCTCTGGGCCCTTATTTTAGGAATATATCTTAAATTATAAAGGGAACCTTGATATGAAATGAGGTATATTCGTGATTCGTGGGTATTGGGCTCTTTGGGTGGGCGGATGTGGGCAGGCTCTCTACATTGACCAGACACTTAAGACGAACCTCGGACAATTACATCTCAGCACAGATAGAAGCAAACTAGGTTGTTAGAGCCGTCCAAAACTACGGCCCGGGACTACAAGAGGATCATACGTTATGTAGACAAATTAGAATGTCATAAGGCGGACCGAAGTCTGCTGCGTTGATTGTAAAAGTTTAACTATATAGGAACTGATTGTACAAGGATAGTTTCGGTGGTTGTTTGGGCTCCTGGATTTTATGTGCGTAGCACAGTGTAGATACAGTGTAGATATTTCATTGATACGTGCGTGCCTACATACGTGCATGCGCAATACGGTGGACTTGTACTCAACGCATCAGGCTGCAAGAGTACACATCACCCCATCGCGGAAGAAGTCGCCGCGGAATTACACATCAGGACAGAGAAGTCAGAGAGACGTTGGAGCTTCATTAAGAAAGCAGAGGACGTGGATGAACCTGTCGGATTGCTTGCCCACGGTTGCAGAGGCTGTTTCAACCACGAAAAACTAAGTCCCCACCACATCATGTAAAATATGCTGAGCATAGCGTAGATGTGTGTGTGTGTGTGTTAAAAAACAGCAATGGACGACAAAGGGACCTCTCGTGCAAGCACTGAGCCTCTACCGATAAACTGTGCCTTTAACAAAAGAACATGTGCCCTGAATGCAGTATGTTTCATGTGTCTCGCCTAAACGGAAGCCCTGAACCACATACAGGAACCTTAACACTGTACCTTTCTGAAAGAGGACATGTGCCCCAAGTACAGTCTTATTCATGTGCCGCGCCTAAACCCTACTTGGAGGTTCGTGGTACCTGATAACCAACTATAACTGTACTCAGAACTGTACTTTTAACCATATTAGGGCACTTAAGAGGCTTATCAATGGGCTACAAGTACAGTTATGCTTGGTTAATATTAAAACCATGAACCGTTTAGGGTTTAGGGTTTAGCGTCCCAAGTAGCCCGAAAACCTGCAGGCTGCAGGGCGCTAGAACTAAGGCTTCAGCGCCTGAGGGGATTCGACACAAAACCCTAAACCCTAAACCCTAAACCCCAAACCCTAAACCCTAAACCCTAAACCCTAAACCCTAAACCCTAGGCTTTCGAGGCCCTGGGCTGCAAACCCAGCACCGAAGAACCAGTGGACCCAAAGCGCTGATTCAATACGTGCTGTTCAAAGGTTCATAGGGTTTAGGGTTTAGGGTTTAGGGTTTAAGGTTTAGGGTTTAGGGTTTAGGGTTTAGGGTTTAGGGTTTAAGGTTTAGGGGCTTCCTGACGTTGATTAGAAGGGGAAGGCGGTATGTACATATCTACTAGGTACTTCTTGCAAGGGACGATGTGACGACTTTGGGGCCAAAGTAATCCATGTGAAAGTACGTGGGGTCTTTGGTACAAGCTGGGCCTTCTAGCATGTAAAGGCCTGCGTTGGGGAAGCAAGCTCGTACAGCCATGTGTGGATTTAGGGCTACAGTTTCAGGGTTTCCGGAGGTAATGGGATTGGGGATTAGGGCTGTTGATTAGGTTCCTGCACGTGTTCCCACTGAGGGGCTAGCCCTCCTTGCCCTCTAGAGCCAAAAGTTGCGAAAACGTAAACCCCTAAACTCTAAGCCCTAAACCCTAAACCCTAAACCCTAAACTCTAAGCCCTAAACCCTAAACCCTAAACTCAAAACCCTGACTCAAACCTGCGAACAAAAGTCGATCTCTTTTTGTTTGCAAGGACAAAGGAGTATCTCATAGCACGAAGCAACAAGCACGTGGCATGTAGGAATACTCCCCGCGCGCGCGGATCATAAGGGATTCCCAGGCCTAATGGCTGGGAGCGCCTTTGGGGTTTAGGGTCTAGGGTCTAGGGTCGGGGCAAACTGTCGTCCGCTTGGCGGAACTCAACATAACAACAACAAGGCCGTGTGCTCAACGCCATTTCAACATCTTCTTAACCAAAGCCAGAGGAGACTGTAACTGCTCTAGTGCCAAAGCATTTACTGTGAGAGGCAGGAACTAGGGCTTGCAGGGGCTTACAGTTGTTGGGACAGTGGGAGTAAGTTCTTGCAACTGTGTGCAGGTTTTTAGGGTTTCGGGAGTTAGGGATCAGGGTTTGCAGTTGAGGTTCGAGAGAATTAGGGTTCTGCACTTATTCCCACTGGTAGCTGCAAGGCCGCCCTTCTAGCCGAATGAAAAAAGCCAAATTTCAAAAATCGGGAGGCCAGCAACTCTCCCTGCATCTGCGATGCAAAATTGTCCTCCGCTTGGCGGAGTGGCGCTCCAACTTGACACGCCGAAGTCTGCGTGCCAACAGTGCCATCTTAAACACCTTCGATCATCTTCTCCAGAATTCACCAAACCCTTGAACCACTCTCGCTGCCCGCCTTTCCCCCCAGAAGGCCCTTTTGGGGGCTTAGGACGTCACATGTAAGTCTCGACGTAGCCATGGGCCATCGAGGCTATCCTGAAGCCTTAGTAGCCCAGCACATTTTAATAAGGGCACCCCTTTTTTGGGTTGGCTATGTTATGAGGGAACCTTGAATCCCCAAAAACGCGAAAAGGGTACCACTGGGCTATCAAGCTCACCCTAAACCCTAAACCCTAAACCCTAAACCCTAACCCTAAACCCTACACCCTAAACCCTAAACCCTAAACCCTCAAAAGCCTACCACTGGGCTACCAAGACGCAATCCCAGGGATCACCCTCCAGGCCTTTCTGCAGAAATCGCGGCACCGACATGCCTCTGGCAAAGTCAGCTGCTGTCCTGGGCTTCAAGGTACAGTGCGTATACATAAACAACAAACAAATATGTATATGTATATATATATATGTATATATATGTATATATATATATGTATATATAGATATATACATGTACAGGGTCCTTTTTTTGATATATATATATACATATATGAGGTATATATGCATATGTACAGAAATTGAAAAGCGGCGGCCCAGCTTTGCTTTGAACTCTAACCCCCACAACTATCGCGACTTTCGACTAAGCCGCAGCCCCCCCCCACCCCCCAAAAAAAAAAAAAAAGACCCCGAAAACCTAAACCCTAATCCGTAGAGCGTCCAGCTCTGGCTGTTGCGGATGTCCAAGCGGGCTCCGGCCGCGATTAGGGCTGCTGCACCCTCGTGCTGCCCCGTATGCACTGCCGCCATCAGCGGCGAGAGCCCGTTAATGTGGTAGACGAATGTGGAGAGAGCCGTTCTTCGCAGGCCGCTTTTGTGCACCGGATACACGGCGGCGCCGATGCCGCAGGCAAGGAGGCTCCAGTCACGGCGGAGATCACACTGGAAGTTGATGTCTGCACGGAGGCCGACCAGGCGGTCGACCAGCTGAGCAGAGCCACCGCAAATGCACATGGCGGTGAGGAGAACCCTCCCAAGTTCCTGGGAGCTTGGCTGCACCCTTTCCTTGGCTGACTTCTGAACCCCTCCTAAAAGTTTTACTTTTAGGCTCCTTAAAGTACAAAACCTAAAAAGTTAAAACCCGAAGAGCCAGCCAGAAGAAAGCCAAGTTTCAAGCAACTCCTCCAGGGCCATCATACTCCCGTAGCTCGTTGCGGCATCCAAGACGGTGATGCCAAAGATGTTCCTACACTCCCCTTAGAACCTCTTAAAAACAAAATATGCTTCACCCCTTAGTAAAAACAGCTTGTAATATCCTCAAGTGGGTTTTATCTAAACAAAAAAGAAAAATAGAAAATAATTCCCAAGGAAGATCTCGGCTCCTTTCCGTTGCCTTGCCGCCGTGGTCGCAGAGGAGCCGGATTCCTTCCGCGTTGTCCTAGGATGGCCCTTACAAAAAACTTCTGAAAAAATCCTGAAGATGACACTCTTATAAACCCAATATAAGGGAATATATAAAAAATGCTCAATATCAGGGAAAACAAAAAACAAATCTCCCAAAAGCCGACCTAGTGTCCGATATGGCGGCAAGCTGCATCGTCGGGTAGATTCCTCCGAGCTGCGCCCGCGAGTCCAGCAGTAGCTGCGCCACCTCGTTGTGCTTGTAGAAGATTGCCATGTCTAGCCTGACGGTTTAGGGTTTAGCGTTTAGGGTAAGGGTTTACGGTTTACGGTTTACGGTTTACGGTTTACGGTTTAGGGTTTAGGGTTTAGGGTTTAGGGTTTAGGGTTTAGGGTTTAGGGTTTAGGGTTTAGGGTTCAGGGTTTCAGGGTTTCAGGGTTTAGGGTTTTAGGGTTTAGGGTTTTAGGGTTTTGGGGTTTAGGGTTCAGGGTTGCCATGTCTAGCCTGACGGTTTAGGGTTTAGCGTTTAGGGTAAGGGTTTAGGGTTTAGGGTTTAAGGTTTAGGGTTTAGGGTTTAGGGTTTAGGGTTTAGGGTTTAGGGTTTAGGGTTCAGGGTTTCAGGGTTTCAGGGTTTAGGGTTTTAGGGTTTAGGGTTTTAGGGTTTTGGGGTTTTGGGGTTTAGGGTTCAGGGTTTCTGACGGTTTTGAACCCGGGTTTACCACGGCGTTCAACAAACACACCCACTTGGGACTTGGGATGTTCCCCCTTATACTAACAGTCCTTAATAGGGATTCTCGTACCCCCTATTCTAACCCCTATGAAGGAGCTGTTAATATAAAGGGGAACATCCCAAACACCCACCCCAAACCCGAAAACCTAAGTCTCAACCCAAGTAACGCGGAGACCCCTAAACCCTAAACCCGAAGCCCTAAACCCTAAACCCTAAGCCCCAGTAACGCGGAGACCCAAGGCTGAAAGCCCAGCTTGGGTTCAGGTTGCCAGGTCCGGCGGTTAGGGTCCGCGCGTCGCTGGAGGAGGCCTGCCAACAAAACGCCCTGGTTTAGGGTTTAGGGTTTAGGGTTTCGGGTTTAGGGTTTTCAAGTAGTGTTTATTTAGTTCAGGCTTTAGGGTTTTGGGTGTAGGGTTTAAGGGTTTTGGGTTTCAGGGTTAACGGTACGGCTTTCAGAAAGCAGCACGAGCTTAAGTTTGCCAGCCAGAAACACTGGACATTCGAAACATTCCTCCGGGCCTTCGACCACTTTTACATTCCCCGACAGGGCTGCATAGTGAAGCGGGCGCCACCCCGCACTATCCGTGCTGCTGACGCCGCTGAAGTAGTTCTGATACCTTGGGTCGTGAAGCCTAAGTCTACTACTCTTCTTGGCAAGCGACGCAAACAAAACAGCAAAATGAGAACCGCAGAGATTCAGATAAGAAGATCTTTGGTAACCTTAGCAAATTGTAGTAATCATGCAGATAACACTGTGGATTCGAAAATGCGGGTTCGACAATTTCCACTAGCAACGTTGTTAAGAATAAGAACCTTCTGGGCAGCGGACAAGTACCATTGTTAAATACTCGAAAGTTGATAGCAGCGAAACCATTGATGTGAATGGCAGACCTGGTAAGGCAGGGGTGTAGTAACACCAGTGCCAATGAAAATCACAAAAGCCATAACAATAGCGTGCAGCAGAAGACAAGTAGACGACTGTATATCCCCAAAGTCTAAACCCTAAACCCGAAACCCTAGGGAGCAACCCAGGAATAAAAAGGGCCCTTTTTGGTTTTAAGGGGATCATAAGGGAACCCCAACCCTTAAAAAAAGGAAAAAAGGGCCAGCTCCCGGTCCTAGTATGCGAGAAAGTCGTGTGCTGCAGTGGCGGCTTTAACAAGCAAAGATGAGAAATGAATCCACGTGCGAAGCACTAACGGTCATCATCTCGAATAGAAGCAGCGCTGAATATTTAGAACGGGTTTTGGGGATACTATTGTATATACATATTGGGACTATGAGGCCATACTAGTAGCAACTATTCCGACCCCTAAACCCTAAACCCTAAACCCTAAACCCTAAACCCTAAACCCTAAACCCTAAACCCTAAACCAGACTTGCTTGCTGCGTCCCAGGCACAAAAAACCTGCCACGAGATCGCGGCTCCATGCCGGGGCCTTGCCTTGCTTGCCAAGCAGCTAGGTTTAGGATTTAGGATTTAGGATTTAGGATTTAGGATTTAGGATTTAGGATTTAGGATTTAGGATTTAGGATTTAGGAATTAGGATTTAGGATTCAGGATTCAGGATTCAGGATTTAGGGTTTAGGGTTTAGGGTTTAGGGTTTAGGGTTTAGGGTTTAGGGTTTAGGGGAACCAAAGGGGCAACAACCCAAGGAGACCCTACGACATAAACCTAATGACTACGGAGGGGTCCCAGTGACCATCTGGGATCAAATCGGCGACTGGCTCTATCTGTAGGCCGCGGAGGTAAACGCTTTGCAGGTTCCTCAGCTCTTCTTGGAGATGAACAATTCTTTATGGCAAACATTGTTGGCGCAAAAGACTCTATATATATATATATACACATAGATGTGTACATGTGTACACATGTACATATGTACATAAAAACATATATACATTTGCTGCCTCAGGCTTTTTTGGCAGGAGAACCGAAACAAGCAGGACGTCTTGCCTGAATACAGCCACAAGCTCAGATGTCGGCGGTAAGCTCGTAAGTCCCCGGTCTGGAGGCAGTGCAGCAACTTGCTTCTCACGATGGCCTTCATCACAGGCGCCAGCTTCCAACAGTCCTCTGGGACCTAGTTCATGGGTGGGATCGTCTTAAAATTTTAAATTTCTGTTCCTTATTGAGTTCAAGTACCACTAAACATCCAAAATGCATGCCACTATAGCAAAGGGACGGTGAAGGTGCCCTCACCAACAGATCCAGACACGAAAGAGAAAGCCTTACTGGCTGAGTTTTTTTTTTTGTTTTTTTTTCCGGTTCTTGGGGTGGAAAAAAGCCTTCAGGTTTACAGTGCCAAGAAAGGTCACAAGAGCTACCTACTCAGTAAGGAGCTGTCCCCACCACTGCCAGCGAAGATGAGCTTCGCACCAGGATCCATTTGTCTTGCGCCGACAGCTCGCGGGCTGCTCTCTCTACCCTGCACCACCCCCTGCCTTACTTCTCCAACAAAAAACAAGTACAGGGTTCTTGAGGGAGAGGTTCACGGGGGGGGGGGGGTAGGTACCTAGGGAACCTCAGGGAAGCTTGGGGAGCCTTAGGAAGTAGAAACCCCGTCCCTGAAGAACTCGACAAGAGAAACAAGATTGACCTTCATGCCAGCAAGAACCGCGAAGAAAGACCAAAGAGTTGGTAACATCAACTATTGGCGGGCGAAGCGACTGGCCCACGTCGCGGCGTTGAGAACCACCCTGCTCTGGTCGATGCAGTCAATCGTCGGGCACAGGGCAAAAAAGAACCTGGGAAAAGGGGGGGGGGGGGGGGTAAATGCAGCCTAGAAGGGCTAATTATCCATACGTATGTGTATATCTATATATATATATATATATGTATACCCTGCTAGGATTTCCCGTAGTAACGTATACGATCTCATTATTTAGGCGTTCCTTGGGTCCCCAAGGAACTTGCAATTCGCCACGTAAGCGGGGATGCTGTGGATGGCTTTGGCCTGATTGCTGCCATCCGTATCATCTGTAGCATGGGTTGCGCGCTTCTCGAGCTGCGGAACCGAGAAGTAGTCATACCAGATGAAAAGTGGCTGGGACTGGAAGGCTTGGTACCAAACGCCTCTGGCAGTGGGTGAGCTGACCTCTGTTACCTTGGCAGTCCAGCAACTTTTTCTTAAAAAGAAGGGCACCCTGTTTTGGGTTGGTTACTTTCAAAGGGAACCTTGAATCAACAAAAAAGACTGGGCTACCAAGTTACGGGCTCTGGAGGCACGTAACCTTCGCTGGAGAGGAGACGCCGCAAGGCATCCTGGAGCACGCGCATCTGCTCGAAGTCCTTAGTAGCCCAGCAACCATATTCGAAAAAAGGGCACCCTTTTTTTGGTTGGTTACTTTATAAGTCATAAGTCAGAAGGGAACCTGAACCCCCCCCCCCAAAAAAAAAAAAAACAAAAAAAGGGTACCACTGGGCTGCCAAGAGTCGGGGTCAGGATGATGCTTGGCAGCCCACTGATGCGAAGCGAAAGCAGCGTTCCCCATGCCTTTGTCGAAGGCAACAATGTCGCCGCGCGCCTGTGAAGCCGAATGTAGGGTTCAGGGTTTTCGGGCAACTGGGCAAGCCGAACGTAGCCATGCTGCACACCGCAAAGAACAAACAGATGAGTCGACATGGACTTTTCTCAAACGCGGGGTCAATTGGCACCGCCACATGCCAGTTGTGGGGGCTGTTTATTCTCGTATTGGTACACTAGGAGGCTCATGGGTACTTACAGCCCTACATAGGGAACTCAGGGAGCTTATCAGAACAGCGATGATTGGGGTTCGAAGACCCATGAACCTCCAAGCACCCTAGGAATAAAAAGGGTGCCCTGTTTGGTTTAAATGGGAGTATAAGTAGACTGACACTTGGGGTTCTAAGTACCCTGAACCTCCAAGCAGGAGGGCTTAAGGTGTCTGGTCTCCCTGAACCCTAAACCCTAAACCCTAAAACCTAAACACTAGCCCGTGGCTGAGGGCTTAAGGATGTCTAGGGTGCTGTGACTGTGCTGGTTCGAATCCAACTAGCCAGCGCACACGTCCGGCACTTTGTGGTTTGGGGTTAACTTTGGGTCGTAGAGTTTTCATGTGGCTACCGGTTTATGAAGTTCCGGTATGTTGGGAATACTTGGGCCCAAGATAAATGATGTTCTGTAGTTTCTTGAGGGGCTTCAGAAATATGTCTCTGAAGTCCCTCGTTTCACCAGTTTCACCCCGTTCGACACAGACACACAAGAACATGGACATCATTCGCCAAGGAGTGTTGCCTTAAGATGCTCATGCGGCTCGACCGCGGTCATCTGCAAGAGCCTTTCTGCCGCAACCACATACATGGGAAATAGCATCGCATCAGCCTCGGTCGGCAGTCAGTTGTCAGTAACGTTTCAGGTCTTGTTGCGTCACTGCTTACCCGGAAGGGACGCCGGACGACCTGTTAAAGGCCGTTAAACGAACAAACAAAGTTGCTGCTACTACCCAAATCCTCAACCCTCAACCCCAAACCCAAGCTCTAAACTAAACCCTAAATCCCCGATACTGTGGGCTTGGCAGCATCATCGGCGGCCGCCAGCTCCCTGGCGTGGTGGCGCAGAGCGGATCTTCCCGGCAAGCACCGCCACATGGGCTCAGGAACTGGGCCTAGGGTTTAGGGTTTGGGGTTTGGGGTTTGGGGTTTGGGGTTTGGGGTTTAGGGTTTAGGGTTTAGGGGCTTAGGGCTTAGTATGTCCTGAAATGTGGAGATGTAGGACTACCTTTGAGCACACACACCGAACCAATCGAGGCAGTCATCTCTGCCCTCTTCTCTACATTGCAGTCAAGCACTGGCGCTGCCGCTGACACCTACAACAGTGCACCATGGGCTTCCTGGTACTCGTTGAGGAACTTGAGTGAAGTTTCCGCTGTGAAACTCTCGCTGCCCCTTAGGCTCTATAAGCCCCAAACTCCCAAACCCTAACCTAGTGCCGGCAGTCCTCCGCCCACCCCCATCTCTAAAAAATGCGTGAAACTCAGCGCAAAACTCCCGAAGCTGCAGTGCTCACCATCCCGCTGAAGCTCCTAAACATCGAGGCCATACGAATTGTTTCTGAAACTGGCAGTCAACAGCAAGGGCTTAGCTAGACCCAAGAGTAACCCAGGAATGAAAAGGGCTCTCTTTTTGGTTTACAAAGGGCTTACAAGGGAGCCTAACCCTAGAAACAAGGGAATAAGGGCCTACAGGCCTACTCTGGGTCGCAGTTAACGAGGCTAGTATACTCCAATCTACAGATCAAATGCAGATACACGACTCTACAGAACAGGGCGCACAATCTAGACCACTCCCCACGACAACCTCTTGGAAATCTGGCGAAACGCCCTGTGAGTCCTAAAGCCCCGAACCCCAACCCATGAAAGCCCTAAACCCTAAACCCTAAACCCTAAACCCTAAACCCTAAACCCTAAACCCTAAACCCTAAACCCTAAACCCTAAACCCTAAACCCTAAACCCTGCCTTCTTTTGTCGGGCGCAAGGAGATGACTGGATGCTCCGCATCATGGAGCCGACTTTGGGTGTAACGCTGTCGGGCATATGTGCGGGCGTTTAGGGTTTAGGGTTTAGGGTTTAGGGTTTGGGGTTTAGGGTTTAGGGTATAGGGTTTAGGGTTTAGGGTTTAGGGCTTAGGGTTTAGGGTTGGTTTATGCTTTAGGGCTTAGGGTTATATTGTAGGGTTTGAACGGCTTTAGGGTTTACTAGGGTTTAGGGTCTGGGGTTGGGACGTTCGGCTTCAGGGGTTTAGGGCGCTAAGGGTTTAGGTCCTTGTTGGGGCTTTGTGAGGGCTTTGAGGTTGACTGGGCTTGATGCGAAGGGTTTCAATCCTTAGCATTTGGAGATTCATTACTTATTATTATGGTTGTTATTATTTATTACCATTATGATTATTTACTATTATCATTATGATGAAAATTATGCATATTGACTGAATTATTTATATTACTTATTAGACTTGAGGGTAGTATATGTGGATGTCAGCAGGATACCCTAAACCCTAAACCGTAAGTGCTAAACCTGAACCCTAGTATGTTCAGGGATAAGAGCTTCGCCATTGTGGATTCTGATGTCTTTCTTCGGAACTTCGGTTTAGGGTTTAAGGGTTAAGGGATGTTCATCCGAACAGGCTTGCGGTTAGGGTTTACCTTGCAACTCCTACCAGGCAGCATGGCTGGACCACTGCAGCTCAGAAATTCGCGGACGTCATACTCGCTATAGGTCATCCCAGTCCTGCCGCGTCACCCGTGCCCCATGCCTTCTTCGAGATGAGATACGGGTACCCTAAACCCTAAACCCTAAACCCTAAACCCTAAACCCTAAACCCTAAACCCTAAAACCCTAAAACCCTAAAACCCTAAAACCCTAAACCCTAAACCCTAAACCCTAAACCCTAAACCCTGCATAGCCAGTACTCAATGCCGCCCAGGCGCGATCGGCTCTTCAGAGACCGGCGGATGGAAGCCCTTTGCCAAGGTCCAAGGACTTTGGCGGGGGTTCGGGTTTGTGGGTTTAGGGTTTAGGGTTTAGGGTTTCGGGTTTAGGGTTTAGGGTTGAGGGTTGAGGGTTAGGGTTGAGGGTCTAGGGTTTAGGGTTTAGGGTTGAGGGTTAGGGTTGAGGGTTTCGGGTTCAGGGTTTCGGGTTGAAGGTTTAGGGTACTGGAGGGACGGCGTGTTGCGTTTAAGGTCTAAGCGATTCTGGGTACTTGCTACCCAAGGAAGCCACTGTAAAGACAGTTCTAGGGCGGAAAGGTGGGCACCTTGGGTTTTAGCAGGCGCGCGGTGCGGGCCAGGTGTTTCGGGTTTTGGGTTTAGGATTTAGGAGTTAGGGTTTAGGGTTTAGGGTTTAGGGACCCCCACCAAAAAGCCAGCCGAAAGCATCCCAATAGGCTTGACCTTCATGTCTTTTGGGGCTACTCGAAGGTTCTCAAGTTCATCGACTACTAATTTGCTTAAGAACCCAGAAAAATAAAATCTATTCTTCCTTATTAAAGGGAAATACAGCTTTTTTTTTTAGGGCGGGGGGGGGGGGGGTTCTTAAGCAAATAGTAGGAAGGTTCTCAAGTTCCTGCAGTAGGTTGGCTTTGTGTGTGAGAGGTCTTCCGAAAGATAATCATTTTAAACCCAGGATGGGAAAGTGTGACATATCCCAAGGGCCTCCCAACCCTAAACCCTAAACCCTAGTAGGCAAGATTAGGGCTCAGGGTTGAGAGTTTAGGGTTTAGGGTTCAGTGAACCCTAAGCCTAAAGCTAAAACTCTAAGCCGACGAAAGCAACAAACGTGAAAACACACATGCTAAGGCGAGCTCAGGCGGAGCGAAGTGCTCGGGAGGAACAAGGAACTCCTGTGGTCCGGGTTTCGGGGTCTGCAGGGTTTAGGGTTTAGGGTTTAGGGTTTAGGGTTTAGGGTTTAGGGTTTAGGGTTTAGGGCTTAAGGTTTAGGGTTTAGGGTTTTTAGGGTTTAAGGTTAGCGGGTACACAGAGAGTGGCAGGAAGCATTAGGGAACCTTGGGTTACATAACCCCCTTGAACCCCCCTCCCTTAAGGATCCGATAGATGTAGAAACTTTAGTTTTCGGCGGGGTAGGGTCTATAAGCTTTAGCGTTGAGGCATTAGCTTTAAACCCTAAACCCCAGAAGTTGGAGAAACCCTTCGACTTTTTGTCTGGCCTTTCTTGAGGCTTTGAAAACCCAGCTGCTCAAAACTCATGACCTCTCTCGAGAGGTCAATGATCCAGGCACACCCCAAACTTCCCTGAACCCTGTGCCCAAAACTTCGCTTGAAACCCGCCACCCTAAACCCTAAACCTGAACCCTGAACCCAAAACCCTGAACCCCTAAACCCTAAACCCTAAACTCTAAACCCCTAACCCTACACCCTAAACCCGAAACCCTAAACCCTAAACCCTAAACCCCAAAACCCTCCCCGCACGGCTCCGGCGGGATGTGCGGAGGTGGTAGGCCGGGTGGAGGTATGAAGCCTCGGCTCTCCCCCTAAACCCTAAACCCTAAACCCTAAACCCTAAACCCTAAACCCTAAACCCTAAACCCTAAACACCGCCTAAAGCCCCCCTCAACCCCTCAAAAAACCCCTAGAAAACTCCTCAACACCCCCTCAAAACCCCCCCTCAAAACCCCCTAGAAAACACTAAAACCTAACCCCTAAACCCCCTAAAAAACCCTAGAAACCCCTAAACCCTAAACCCTAAACCCTAAACCCTAAACCCTAAACCCTAAACCCTAAACCCTAAACCCTAAACCCTAAACCCTAAACCCTAAACCCAAACCGTAAACCCTAACAAATCTGAAACTTAGGCCTTTTTTGGTGCTCTCCGACCAAGGCCTCCCATCGCCTCGGTTTTAGGGTTTGGGGTTGCTTGGGGTAAGAAGGTTTAGGGTTTAGGGTTTAGGGTTTAGTTTTTTTTTTGTTAGGGTTTAGGGTTTAGGGTTTAGGATTTAGGGTTTAGGGCGTTCGCGTGTTCA